GGCCGTCCAGAAGCCGGCGACTGATCTGCCTCGCTAGAGAAGAGCACAATGATGGTGCCAACTTGGGCCAGTGAAGCAACGACCTCCACAACTAGATTGAAGAACAAAACGACAGCAACTTGTCTGTTCCCCTTCCCCCAATTCCCCAGCGCTGTTCCCCTCCCCGCAATTCCCCAATAAAAAAAAAATTTAAAAAAATCTAAAAAAAAGAATCCTTGTTATTTCTATATCTATGTATCTATCCTTTTATCTATATATCTGTGTATCTATGTATATCTATCCTTGTCTCTATTATCTATGTTTCTATGTGTCTTCTACCTATCCTTGTATCTATATATCTATGTATCTATTCTTGTATCTGTGTATATGTATCTACCAGGGGTGCCAAAAAAATGTATACACATGACTTGTTATCGGTATACATTGAGCATTGCATTTTTTTTGAGTATTACAATTTTAATAGTTTTTCCTTTCTTAAAGTTTACGTACATTTTTGGCACCCTCTATTTTTCTACCATCTACATATATATATGCCTATCTATCCATCATCTATGTATGTATGTATGTATCATCTATGCATATGTCTATCATCTATGTATCTATCTACAGATATATCTATCTGTATTATCTCTATCATGTATGTATGTATGTATGTATGTATGTATGTATCAAGATTGTTCCAGAGAGGCCCATATACATTGTCTTATTTCCTTTAATATTTCCCAAACGTTTCATTGTGGATACATTTTCCCTACCTAGTCCCAGTCTGATGCACAGATTGTCTCCCATTTTGTGCTATTATACTATATCAGGGCTACAGAAAATCTCTTCATTCCTGTGCTGGTATCCAGGAGCTGCATGAAGGGGTGTGCCTTTGAATTCTGACAGATAAAGCCTCTCCCCAGAGGTTAGACTGACTGTGTCCCCAACAGTGTCCGAAGTGACTGCCTCTGCCTGCCCTCTCCAGTAAGAGGACACACGAGTGAGGGTTTTGAAATGGCTGGTATCTGAGAGACCCTGGGAAGGGAAATACAATGTAGTGTACATCTACTATGTGCCTGGCACTTCATGGACATTATCTTGCCTGACCTTCATACTAATGCTCTGATGTAGGAACTGTCTCCTCTATTGTGCAGAGGGAGAAGCAGCCTCAGAGAGGTGGCATAGAGACACTGGGCTTTAGCCACTGGGTTCTGCCATATACCGTATAGACATGGCTGGATTTTATTAATTTGTTAAGTGAAGCCACTCGTCCAACATCTGTTCAGTATTGTCATTACCAATGGGATAAAAATACTACTCAGAACCGCATCTTGTTCTGAAGCTCCTCCATCTAGCCCCCCTGTTCTGAACCTCAGCATCCTCTCTTTCCTTAGCTGCGTTCACTGCTGTGGGTTAATCCAGATCGGTTTGGTGACAGCCTTCTGTGTGCCGACTCCATGATCAGTGCAGGGCAGAAATGCTCCCTGCAACCTGGCAAGGTAATAGTTCCTAGTTTAGAGCTTCCTTGGGGGGCGGTGTGTGTGTGTGTGTGTGTGTGTGTGTGTGTGTGTGAGGGGTGGGGGCCTCTAGAAAAACCCTGGTCTCTGCTGCCACCGTCTGGATTCTTGAGAACAGCACATGTTTGTGAAATAATGAAAAGACAGACTCCAGAATGAGGAGCAGTGGATTTGTGGTCTCCGTAGTTTTGCCTTTTGTAGAATGTCATGTAGTTGAAATCACACAGTGTGTAGCCTTTTCATATTGGCTTCTTTCACTTAGTCATATGCATCTAAGGTTCCTCCATGTTTTTTCATGGTTTCATAGCTCAGTTCCTCCTTTAAGCACTGAACAGTATTGTATTGTCTGAATTGACAAGTTTATTTATCCACTCACCTCCTGAAGGGCTCCTTGGTTGCTTCCGAGTTTTGGCAATTATGGATAATGAAGCTACACTCCTGGGGGTTTAGTAAACAGTTGTCCCCCTTCTATAGAAGCAGCAGCACTGCGTGCTCATATAGGGTTGCTTGTGAGCCAATCCGTCCAGTGAGGTACAGGGAAAGCTGCTGCCGGTGCTTCTGAGGGAGCTTTCCCCACTTACTGTAGGGCAGGGGTTCTCAGGCAGGGGCGACTGTGCCCCACAGGTAACATCTGGCAATGTCTGAAGTCACGACTGGGACTGGTGCTCCTGGCACCTAATAACGGGCAGAAGCCTGGGATGCTGCTCAACATCCTACATGTACAGGGAAGCTCCCTCCACGACAGCAAACGCTTATCTGGCCCCAAATGTCAGCAGTGCTGAGTCCGAAAACACTGCGGTCGGGACCTGTGAGCATCTCATTTCTCCTCCAGCTTATCCTTATGAAGATAAAGATGCTCTGCTGCCACCTAGTGAGCACCAAGGGAAGTTCAAGGGAATTGCAGAGAGGCGGAATCCTGACGTCCCAGGGATGCTGAATTAGCTAACCCTGCAATTACCCATTCACAGGCTCCTTACGCGGGAAGTGGGAAGCTTCTAGCCAGTGACTGCAGGTCAGGTTCTCCGTTACTTGTAGCTTAAAGCATCAGAATTGATATGGCTTCACACAAACACAAACCCTGCACTTTCTCCATCTGCAAAGTGTACAGAGCGGGTAGAGGTGAATTCTTATCATACGACATGGGGAAAAGGGTCCTACTGGAGAAAAAGACAAGTCAAGAGCCCAGAGTCAGCAAGGAGGCAGCTTCCCCCCTCCCCACCCCAAGTCTCCACCCCATGAACAGAGGTACCAGGTTAGGGTGATACTGCTGGGTTCACCAAGGGTCACCCTCAAGGAGAGGGTCCCTGTTGCCTTGGGCTCTGCTTGCCTTCCCTGTGCAAATGTAGAGATAAACATACATGCAGGCACTGGACAATTGGGGCATAAGCACTCGACACTCGGACTGTAAATCTTGGTGCTTTGGGAGATAGTCTGAGAACCTCAGTCGCCAGGTGAAAGGACCCCTGTTCCTGTGGAAGGAGGGGCATTGAGGATCTCTGGACCCAGTCCATTTGCTGTCAGATGGAACCTCTCTAATGACTTCCTACTGTGCTTAGAATAACCCCCCAGAGTCCTTGACCTGGTCTCCCCTGCCCTCACATGATCTGGGTCACATCCCTTTCTGCGCTAGTCCAGGTGCCCCTCTCCTCATATCCTGGCTCTGACCTCAGGGCCTTTGTACCAGCTGTCCCTGTGCCCTAACACCCTTCCTGAGAGTGCTGCATGCTGAGCTCCTCCTTGATATTCAGGTTCTGCTTAAACGTTACCCCATGGCTTTCTAGAGAAACAGGACCAATAGGATATATAACAAATAAGATATATAATAAAATACAACAAAAATCTATTCACAGCATATATCTGTGTGTTTATTATGAGGAATTATTTGTTATGAGTGATGATGGCGGCTGAGTCTCACGATATGTCGTCTGCAAGCAGGAAAGCCAGTGGTGCAATTCAATCTGAATCATTCACATCACACAACCCATGTCACATTGGTCTAATGGACAAGCCTGGTATAATGTGAACTATTCCAGAACATGTAAGTGTTTAAAAGGCATTTCTGCAAAGAAACCACAGATTGAAGATAATGCTAATAGCATAAGCCCTAGCAGGTTATGGGGCTATTTCTCCTACACCAGGCATAAACGTTTCATGAGCCACTTACAGGGGCAAGGAAGGCAGACCAATCACCATCTAATTTGATCTGACAGAGAACAAGCCTAAAAAATGTCCAGGTGTAAAAAAGGATGCTTGAATATGAAGATCAAATGAGTTCATTTATAGGTAAGTGCTTAGAACAGAGCCTGGCACACAAGGGCTGTGTATTACCTATCATCATCATCACAGATTAGAGAATAAATATAAGAAATCATAAAAAGTACCTGTCGGTAAGAGTGCAAGAATTTCCCATGCTCTGGGAAAAGACTGATTGGGGAGCTAATTGTTACCATGGCTACAAAACAAACAGATTTAAAGCCATTCAGTGAATCCAAGACAGCCTGTCTCAGTGAACATGCTTTTTACAAGCCTGCCAATGATTCACCTTTAGCTTCTGAAATTCAGCCAATTAGCAAAGATCCACTTTGATGAAAACACCTATTAGTGCCAGTCTCACCTGAGTAACTGTGTCAACTCACCCCAGTCACCAATCCCTAAATTCCATGTTTCCCCCCGATTCTTACCTACATAAAATCAAAGAAATGGTGATAGACCAGTTATCTTTGACTGCAGTAACCAATAAATTTGTTTATATATCAGACTTTTGAGTGATAGTCACATTATTGTTTGACATTCAGATATGGACTTAAATTTTTTTTTAAACACCAGCAGAGTTGTGTTATCAAAATTTTGCGGCCATGTGTAAGGACCCAAGTCCTGCTACTTCTGATCTTGAATCACGTCTCCAGTGATCAAGAAGGCCACTTGACACTTTTTCCAAATGCTCAGTTTATTTGATTCCCTCTATATGCTCTGAGGGTAGGACAAACATTTCAGAGAACGAGGTCCTTCGACTTGACGGTCACAAGCCTATATCCAAGGGAAATACCATAAACAAGTTAGACTGGACACACAACTGTCACTACCAGCAAGGGCTTTGTGAGAATCATTTTCCATCTCTGAGAAGGAACTCCTGGGCTCAGCTTTCCCCACAAAGATAGCTTTCAAATTTCCTCTGTCAGAGTGGGTATGGGTGGGGAGGGTTTCTTGTCTTCAGTTTTTCCACCAATACCGGTCTTCTTCGTCAAAAGCATACCAGCCATCGCCAATCACAACTTGAGGCTTCCGTAGCTGCACCTCCTCCAGCAGCTTCCTCACTTGAGCTGGATATTGCCATTTCCATAGCCTGTGGGCAAAGAAAGGGGAAGTCATGACTCTGGGAATTTGCTCTTACTCTTCTCCCTTCCTCCAAATTCCTGGAACCCCCACCGAGGATCTGAAACCTCTTCTTGTTGAGAAGCCATACTGTGTTCCCCAGAGAGTAAAAGCAAGTCCCTCCATGTAAAGGGATGCTTGGATGTGTCAATACCATACTGAGCATTTGTGGGCATCTGCCCCTCACAGGAAACCCAAGAGGCAGCCATGATTAGTCATCTATCATGATCTCCTTCCCAAGAACTGACTTTGTGCCTGGTCTTGTTGTAGGGTTTGGGGGCACAATGATGAACAAGGCAAAGTCCCCACCCTCACACAGCTTATATTCTAGGAGAGGAGAGAGAAACAGGTATTCAAATAGACACATGGGGAAACTGGCTCCTGAAAGGCCGATTAGGAAAATCCAGGTCTGACTCTTCTACTTCAACTATGAAGTCCCTTCATCACAAGCTGATTTTTGTCCAAGCTAACTGCCTTGTGAGTCATTGATACAAATATGCTCTCTTTCAACCCAACTTTCTGCTTTTTCAGCTCATTTGCTGAAGTGATCACTGTAATATTTCTCTTTGACCAAATCAAGATCTCTAAATCCACTGAGCCATGCTTTCCAGTCCATCTCCCCTCCTGCCTCAGTGCCCTATCCCCCCATTCCCAGATCCTACACTACAACCACTTTTGTGGTCTTTCCTGTTACATCCGTCTGCCAAAACCTGACCCCTATATAAAGCTGCAAGCTGGACTGTACAGGAGAGGACAGGTACTCAACTGGGAAGTTGGCTATTGATATAAGTGTATCACAACCAACCCCAACGGGCTGTCCATCTCTACCATTTGTCATTGCACAGCTCAGTGGTGTTGAGTACGTTCACACTGTTGTGCAGCCATCACCACCATCCATCTCCAGAACTCTCCTCATCTTCCCCAACTGACACTCTGTCCCCATGAAGCACCCATGTCCCTGTCCTCCCAGCACCTGGCATCCACCATTCTCCTTTCTATCTACTCTAGGGACCTCACATACATAGGATTATTCTTATTTGTCTTTTTGTTTCTGGCTTATTTTAATCCATATAATGTTCTTGAGGCTCATCCATGTTGCAGCATGTGTCACAATTTCCTTCCTTTCTAAGGCTGAATAATATGCCATTGTATGTAGATACCACATTTCATTTATCCATTCACCCGTCAGTGGACACCTGGGTTGCCTACACCTCCTGGCTGTTGTGAATAATCCTGCTTTGAACACAGGTGTGCACATGTCTCTTTGAGATCCTGCTCTTGATTCTTTTGGATGTCTACCCAGAAGTAAAATTGTTGGCTCGGATAGGAGTTCTATTTTTAGTTTATTGAGGATAAACACTTGTATGTTGTCCTTTTACTCTCCCAAACCCACCCCAAAGTAAGCCTCATGATAGTGACACCTTGCCTTGATCTCCTATGTCCCTGCGTTCCCACCCCCCAGCACAGTGCCTGGGCATAGTGGGCATTTGAATAGTTGGTTGAATAAAGACTTCAACTTCTCTGATAAAGTGCTTCTCGGTCAACAAGCATGTCTGTAACAGAGAGAGGTGTGTCCCAGGAGACATCTCCAGGGACTTACCCAATAATCTGTAGATTAGAGTTGGGATGTGCAAAGGCTGGACACAGCTTCATTATTCCTCCAGGACTGAAATTATTCCGCATCAGGTTTATGCTGGTCAGGCTCTGGTTGCTGAAGAGAGCCAAGGAGAGGCCCTCACAACAGTCAGATGTCAAGTCACACGCCTCCAACCTGCAGCGCCAGGATCCCCCAAAATAACCCCAGAGATCAATATCCATCCTTCTCTCCTTAAACTGTTTGACTTTCACTTTGAAGTTGTAAAAAAGAGCAGCTGGCTCCACCCCTAGGGTTTCTGGTCCGGTTGTTCAGGGGAGGGGCCTAAAAATTTGCATTTCTAATGAGTTTCCAGGTGGTGCTGCTGGTTCTCACTTTGAGAGCTGCTGGACGACTCAACCACAGTTGTGGAAAGAATGAAAGATAAAGGTTGAGAGAGCCTCTGACTAGGGAACGAAACAAGGAACATGGAGAAAGACACGCTGAGAAAGTGACTTTTCACCTAAAACTCTAAAGATGAGAAGTAAGCTCAGTGAATGGGGGCAGGAAGTAGTGACGCTTGCTTATGAAACTGCATGTCGTGTCCAGAGAAGAAAGGAGTGGACGAGTCTGAGACACAGACTGTAGGCTAGATGGCCAAAGTGGAGTAGAGGCCAGTGGTGTGAGATGGGGCCGGACATTTTAGGTCATGTTAAGGATTTTAGGATTTTGTCCTAAGAGTAGTGGGAAAAACCAAAGAATGGTGTTAGGTGTAATAATAGTATTGTAGCACTGTTCTTACATTTTAGAGATGCGTGCTGAGGTATTTAGGGGAGGAGCATCAAAATCTATAACTTACTATGAAATAGTGTACCCGATAGATAAAATTAGCTGGTGGGTATATAGGTCTTAGATGTCCTAATCATTGTAGATTTTGTGTATTTGGTAATTTTTATGATAAAGAGTGTGGACAGCAGCTCAAGTAGTTTTAACCTTCTGTAGCTAGATGTTGAAATGGGATTGAATGAAGGCTTATTATTATTATTGGTTTTGCTACTACAATAATATCTAAGCTTTTATGAAAACAGAAAATTTCCATGAGGGAGGCTGATAGAGGCAAGGGGGAGGGGGATAGACAGGTGATTATAGGGTCCCCAACATGGGTGACATTAACCTGTGGTCATGGTAGACATGCTTCCTACACTGTTTTGAAGGGGGAAAAAAGAAGGGAATGTGGGCATAGATATTAATTGGTTTCCTGGTAGAAGGTCTAGGATTCTCCTGTGAAGTGGTTTTATATTGATTTGAAGGAGGTAAGGTCATCTTTTAAGCCCCAGGGAGACCAGGGTAGGTTAAAAAGTTTCCAGATAATAAAGTTGGTTTGAAATCATTGTTTCAGGAAGAGAAGCAAGCAAGCAAACCAGAAAAATGTAATGCT